TAACTGGTAGCGCTTATCGATTTACGACCTATAACGTTCCAGTCTGTTATGATTTTATCTTAATAAACTCTAAATTTTAAAGAGCCGTGGAGCGCTTAATATTAAATAAAATATTTCTTTTATAAAATATTTTTTTTATTAAACTCAATCTAATGGCATAAAAAAAAAATAGGGTTGCCATTTGAAAATATGAAGTTGATACAAGTCTTTAGCATAAGGGATGGTGGAAGAAATTTAAATTTTCTTGTGAAACACCTCATGAAAGATGCATAGTAATTTAAAAAAATAAATTGTCTATAACACTTGTATTATTTACTAAGTTAAATCATACCCAATAAATATTTATCCAACTGATATTACTTTGGTTTTTTTTTTGTAAATAATAATTAGACTAAGTTCAAAGCATTTTTATTATAAAAAAAAAATAATAATTAAATGAAAACAGATTATTAAAATAAATCATTAATTTAAAATTTATGGATAACATTGTAACAAAAAGTTTATGTTATTAATAACAAATTTAAAAAACCCAACCCAGCACAGTGGGGTGGTGGCACAGTGTGGTCGTGGCATAGTTGGGTCCAGCATAGATAATATCTGACAGTGATTAAAATCACTATCATAAAAAATGCTTTGATGCAAATCTCAAAGTTGTCACTTTGAATCCCACCCTGTGGGATGTTAAAGGGTCAATTTTATAAAAAAATATATCAAGTAATAGGTAAAGACATTATGCATCTATTAAAAATAAAATTATATTGATTTGTTCAATTTTGAAAAAGTCATGGTAGTTTTAAGTAAAAAAAATTTCGAAAATTAGCGATTTTTAAATTTGTATTTTTTTAGGAGATTTCCCCCGTTTACGAGGAATGAGGGAAATTTGTTCAATTTTTGAGGATAATTTCTTCGACTAGATACGATTTGTGATCTTTTGATGGTTCTGTGAGAGCTGAGAAAAAATGGTAACAGACACAAAAAATAAATAAATAATTAAACACATCATAGTAAAATTAATACCTTCTCAGCTTCGCATCGAACCTAAAAAGGAACTTTCAAAGCTAATTTTAAGCTAATTGAGGAAATAACCAGATAAATCCACTTTTTTTGAAAACCTATTTTTTAATGGAAATTTGTAAAGAAAATTATTCTTGATAATTAGACACAACAATCAGATTAATGCGATCAAAATTCGTAGTTATTAGAGAAATAAATTTTTTTTATTTTTATTTTTTATTTTGTTGTATGTTGTAGCAAACAGATATGTCTGGATTTATCTTTTTGTTTAGTTGGATTTAATATATATAAAATATTTATTATAGAAATTAATTGTAGTGTGAAATTGATATTTAATGATATAGTGTTGTAATTTGTATGGAGAAATTATAAAAAATTATAAAGGAGTTGTTACTATTATGGAAAACATTCATAAAATTTGAAGATCGTGATGCAATACTTTTTATAAATGAATTGTTACTTATGAATACATTTTTTGGTCTACAAGCAATTTTCATCAAAAATATACTTCTTTAAACCAATTTTTGCGCCGATTTCAAATTTGTAACGTGCATTACTAATAACATGATTTGGGTTTCTTTAGACTTTAACAATGTACATTTACAATTATAATTAATTTTTTTAATTCACTTAATTATGGAGTTTTTTTAAATCTTTTTGATTAAATTTTTTAGTTTTTATGTGAAGCTATGAAGGTATTATTCTTGTGATGGTGTGCGTTTTTTTATGTCTATCCATAAAAATTCTTAGCCTCACTGAACCGATTTTAATTACCAATCGAATATTTAACGTCCTATCTTATATATCAAACGAAACAATTCATAGAGACCTCCACCTTCTTATTGTTAAACAAACTACTACCTCTCGATACAAACTCTTTCACAACAATCTCCAAAATCATTCAATCCCTCTTATTAGCTTCGATGCGAAGCTAATAAGCTGTGAAGGTATTAATTTTATCATGATGTGTTTATTTATTTAATTTTTTTCTTTTGTCTGTTACCACTTTTTCTCAGCTCTCACCGACCGATTTCTTTCAATGATACGACAAAAGATCACAAATCGTATCTAGTCGAAGACATTACCCTTAAAAATTGAAAAAAATTCCCTCGTTCCCCGTAAATGGGGGAAACCTCCAAAAAAAAAANATTCCCTCGTTCCCGTAAATGGGGAAAACCTCCAAAAAAAAATACAAATTTAAAAATCGCTAATTTTCGAAATTTTTTCAATTTTTTTTACTTACAAGTGCCATAACTTTTTCAAAATTGAACAAATCAATATAATTTTATTTTTAATAGATGCATAATGTCTTTACCTATTATTTGATATATTTTTTTTATAAATTTAACCTTTTACCAACCCACAAGAGGGGATTTAAAATGACAACTTTTTCACAAAAAATTAATTTTTTTAACTTAAATTTTGAAAATGTTCCGGAAGGTCTGACACATTTATATATATCTTAAATTAAAGCTAATGTAATGTTCTTTATTATGCAAAAAAAAAATTTCGGACTTTATCTTATCTTCACGGTGAAAATGGCTACCGAATGCTATTTTTGTGTGAAAATTTTCGATTTTGTATTTTCCATTTTTAACTTTATTATGCTATAACTTTTTGAAAAATATATGGATCAATACAATTTTTTCATGAGAAGTAGTATTTATATTCATCTTTCATTCGACATACTGTTTTTTTAAATCGGACCATTTCCCTAAATACAGGGGGGATTCAAAACATAAAAATGCATATAGAAAGTAGAACTTTTTCAACTAAACTTTTGAAAGTGTTCCGAAAAGTCTGACACTTTTATATATATCTTAAATTAAAGCTAATGTAATATACTTTATAATAGTAAAAAAAAATTTCGGACTTTATTTTATCTTCATGGTGAAAACAGACATTAAACTTAATAAAAAAAATACGATTTTTGTAAAAAAATTCTTTTTTATATTTTTAACTTTATAATGCTATAACTTTTTGAAAGATTTATAGATCAATATAATTCTTTTTTTTGTATATGCATGATGTCTTTACCTATCATTTGGTATATTTTTTTTTATAAATCTGACTTTTTACCTGCCTACAGAAGGGGATTCAAAATGACAACTTTTTCACAAAAAATTAACTTTTTCAACTTAACTTTTGAAAGTGTTCCGAAAAGTCTGACACTTTTCTATATATATTAAATTAAAGCTAATGTAATATACTTTATTATGTAAAAAAAAAATTTCGGACTTTATTTTGTCTTCACGGTGAAAATGGCTACCAAATGCTATTATTGTGTGAAAAATCTCAATTTTATTTTTTGCATTTTTAACTCTATAATGCTATAACTTATTGAAACAGTATTGATCAATATAATTTTTTTATGGGAAANTGCTATAACTTATTGAAAAGTGTATTGATCAATATAATTTTTTTATGGGAAATACTATTTTTTAATAATCCCTTTTTTATTCGACATACTTTATCTTAATCAGGATATTAATAAGGAACTAGCAGTTTATGAAGCTTTTGGAATAATCCACCAATTTTTTAAAATTAAACACTATCTAAAGATTTGCATCGAAGCGTTTTTTTTTTTATAGTGATTTTAATCACTGTCAGATATCATTATGCCACGACCCCCCTGTGCTGGGTTTTTAAAATCTGTCCTTACTCATATACCCAGATAACTTTCCTCGCCGCCTAAAAGATCCTGGTGTAGAGATCATCTTCAACAATAAATATATGTTAATATATTTGTAATAGTTATTTACTCCAAAAATGTAATATAAACATTGTAATATAAGTTACAAATTTCAGCAGGAGTTCTGCCGTTAGAAGGACTTTCTACAAGATATTCGCTGTTATGTGTATATATTGTTTTATCATAATACTTTATTGTATATTTTAAAACAAAATCAAAAAAATTATTCATATAACTTAATGGGGTATAAAAATTACCAATTTTATAAAAATTAAAATTCTCCTATCTTACATATTAGGTAAAATTAATAATATTATCAGCACTTTAATGTTAAATTCATAACTTTATTCAAACTGATCTCAAAAGTATTCAACTTAATTTGAATGCTATTTAAATGTCAATAAATTTTTAATAAAATGACAATTTTACCATCTTTTTATAATATCCCTACCCCTATCAAGCATAAATATTATTATACACTTTAAAATCTTAAAATATATCCTCTCCTAATAGGGCTCAAATTAAAATTTATTTCAAAATTAAATTTAGCTACCTCAAAAACATATATTTCAATATTAACAATATTATCTAATATAATTAAATAATACAAATATTGTGTTATTAGTATTTGTAAATATTAATATAAATATTAGTATAAATGTTAGCCACCTTATTTGATTTTGTATCATTGGGAGACATTTCATTTTACCCCTTAATTTTCACTGTTGTTCGTAGACGAAAATCAGGGAGACTAAGGTGACTTAGTAATTTTTAATTTTGAAAAAACATAGTATTGTTGAATTACAGACATTCAACAATTATAGTAATATACCTATCTTTATGAGATATTTTTTTCTGGAAAATTAAAATTTAAGTTATCTGTTATTATAATTGAGCTATTACTGAGCAAAGTCAGTTTATGTGAATAATATAAAAATAAATTTTATTGGCTACAAAAAAAAAAAAATTAAATTAATAGTATAGGTATAACATTCAATTTACATTTCATTATAAAATTTTATATTTTAGCAGTTCTATGTATCTATTTTTATAATTAATTAACAGAAAACTAAATTTTTAGTTTTATGTTTTCACTATTATTTTTCGTAAACATTAAGTTTGAGGAAAAATAATTTTTTATTTGTATTTGTTTAAAAATTGTTCGTATGTATGAAAATATCTATTAATATAAAAACACATAAATTATCTTTGTCATTTAAATATAATTTTATTAATATAAAATAATCATGAAATATCTTATAGTTTTAGATTCGTAAAACTTGACTAACTAAATTTTAATTGAAATTAAATTATTTTAAAGTTAAAATATACTGTTTAATTATTTTGTAATATCATGATGACGTTTTATTCCAAATTAATTAAAACTATGTTATTTTTATTATTAATTGATTTAATTACAACAAAAGAAAATGAAGGTATGTAATTATGATATTAATTTATCTTCTATGCGAAACTTAGAAGGTATTAATTTTACCATGATGTGTTTATTTATTATTATTTTTTTTTTTTGTGTCTATCAATACTTTTTCTCAGTTCTCATTGGACCGATTATTCTCAATGATACATCAAAAGATCACAAATCTTTAATTTAGTAGAAGACAATACCCTAAAAATTACACTTTTTAAAAAATCGATAATTTTCGATATTTTTTTGAATTTTTTTTTTTCTTAAAACTACCATAACTTTTTAAAAATGTACAAAACAACCTTTTTCAAATGTTAAGTTGAAAAAGCTTTATTTTTTATACGTAGTTTTCAAGTTTTTACGCCCCCAGTATAAGAGGAGATTATCCGATCTAACAAAAAAGTATGCTGATGATAGGTATATAATAAAAAATTATATATAAATAAAGGAATATATATATAAGGCATTTAGAAAATAAAATTTATGCTGATCTTAAAATTTTTCAATAAGTTATTTTAATTTATAGTTGAAAATATAAAAAGTCAAAGTTATACAGATTTGACACAATTTTGACCGATATCGATATTTCATGGCTAAGATATTAAAGTGGTTTTTTCTGTGTAGGGGCACACAGAAAAAAATATTATATTTATTTGCATATGCTGTATAATATTTTTAAAATTATATCATATGATTTAGGTGCTATATTTGTGTTTTAATTTACTTTTTTAGATTGTTTTGTAATAAACTGTGATACGAAAGCTTATGATAAAATTATGAAATGTGGTTGTCATTTATGTAAAGAATGCAGTTACAACTCTCTACAAATTGGTACATGTTTAAATTGCTCTACAGTAGTATCGTCTTGTAAGTAAATAATATTTATTGAATTTTATAAAGATTCATAAAATAAAAAAATGTTTTTTTTAATTGAAGAAGTCTGACGATAAAAAAAATGAGTTGCATTTCAAAAATTGAATATTAATAAGATTTTAGGGTATAAGGGGTGATAAAAGAAAATAAATACAGTGGAAGCCGTTTATTAGAAATACGGATATTGTTGTATCAATAACACGGATAATTGACACAATCGCATTATTGAAACAAAATGTCCCGAGACGAACCGGCCGTATATTAGAACATACACTACAAGGCATCCCCTACAAACATAGAAATTTTAGAAGCTCTTAGTGTCTTCAGGAGAGTAGTCCAGCACCGTGCGGATGAAAAAGGCTTTGAGTAGCACTACTCCTATTAATATATGGTGATGGAGTTACTCAATAGAAAAAAACAAACTTTAATAGACACGTATTTTAAATAAAAGTTTTAATTAATTTATAAGGCTTGACTTTTTATGCATTAATTATAAATTTTTCATTTTTTTTTTATAGTACAAATTAAACTAATCGCTTATTAGAAACAATCGGTTAATTGACATATTTTTCCTTGGTCCCAAAGAGTTCCTATTAAGCGGCTTTTACTGTATATTACTTAAAGCAATTGAGAAATAATTATTTAAAAAAATAATATTGTGATTCGCTATAACATATTTCGTCAAGTCTAGATGAGGAATCTCTCTGTATATATTATTTTTGTTAAAAATTATTATTGTTCATTATTAAAAACAATATACATTATTAGGACGATTTGGAAATGTTTTAAACTATAAACTAGTTTTTAAATGATTTTATTATAAATCATAAACATAAAGTATTATTTTTATACAGATAACCCATTACATTTTATCAAGAATGGTAAGAAACAAAGAAATTATATTCTTTTTTTAACACGCTTTTATTAGTTTCACTTGTATGTATGTATGTATGTATGTATGTATGTATGTATGTATGTATGTATGTATGTATGTATGTATGTATGTATGTATGTATGTATGTATGTATGTATGTTTGTAACTCTCCAAACGCCACGCGTTATCGCATATTCCGTCGTCTAGACTAGACTGTCATAACGCATTCACCCCACCCCACGCCGCGCTCATCACACGACGACAACACTATTCCTCTGTATAAATTTATTTTTGGTTATCGTACCCGTGTGCTTGTCATCAATATTATATATATGTAAACAAATTTTTATTTTGACTGACCAATAACGCCCGCGTCTAATGCGCCTTACGTATATATATATATATTCCTACCGCCGTTTATACCTCGGGTATAACGTTAGTCCGACCCGCCCGGCCATAAAACACAGCTATACTTAGTGCATGATACTTTTACGTAGTTAAGTCGCATTATTTGTATAAATATATATATTCTAATTACTATTAAAATTAATATATTAACACGATTTATTCTAATTAAGAGATATAAAGTATTCATTCCGATTACGAGGGATGATTTCCGTATCGTCATTTTTCGTCACTACCTCCACGTTCCGGGAGTGAGTAATTTACGCGCCTGCTGCTTTCCTTGGATGTGGTAGCCGTTTCTCAGACTCCCTCCCCAGAATCGAACCCTGATTTCCCGTTACCCGTAACAACCATGATATTGATAGTAACTACTATCATAACATGAAACTAAAAAGTAAAAAATAAATATAGTTTAAAAAACTAAAAAAACACGCTTTTAAAGTACATCGAACTAAAAAGTTAAAAATAATTTTTAAAATAATTATGAACAAAAAATACTAGTATTATTGTGATAAAAGCGTGGGTGCTTTGTGCCATATTTTTCGTATATTGAGCGCCCGACGCTTTTATCACAATAATACTAGTATTTTTTGTTCATAATTATTTTAAAAATTATTTTTAACTTTTTAGTTCGATGTGCTTTAAAAGCGTGTTTTTTTAGTTTTTTAAACTATATTTATTTTTTTCTTAATTCGGGTATTTTTGAAGGAACTTTTAACTTTTAAAAAATGTATAGTAGACAAAACACCGAGGAAACCTTACACAGAAAAAAATATTATATTTATTTTCCATATGTTGTACTTTTAAAATTATATCATATGTTTTATATACCATATTTTCCATATTTTTAGGTAAAACTTGTCCTGTTAAATTATGTAATAAAAGCGTTTATTATAGAATGGAAAGTTGTGGTTGTCATGTATGTGAGATTTGCGCTGAAAACTCTATAATAAATAGTGGTATATGTTTAAATTGCTCTAAAGAAGTATCGACTTGTAAGTCAATATTAAATTATAATTGAAGGTATTAATTATTTCTGAAAAATTGTAAATTTTATGATATTGATTTAAAATCAATCAAGAGTTAAAATCACTCTTTCATATGTACGTTTTGTTATGAAAAATCTAATATTCGGGAAATAATGACATATTCTAACTAAGAGTTAAAAAATACTTTTAATAAAATAGTTTTAAAAAAGTAAAAATACTTTTTGATGGCTTTAAAAAAAAATGTTGAGCCTCTTTACTAAGCTAAAAAGGTATTAGTTTTATAATTATGTGCGATTTTTTATGTTTGTCCATAAGCTCTTACGGAACCAATTTTAATGATCAATACGTAAATATAAAATAATCTTCAATATTAAAAAAAAATTGTTCGATGATTACTCTTCTGTGAAAAATTAGATGTCGAAGTAAAAGTAATTGCAATTTAAATAATAGTGGGACGATGATGCCGAGTCGGTAACGCGGCAGTGCTTGACGCACACTACCTCGGAATCACGGACTGCTACATTTACCGAACAAGAATACAGTTCCATAATTGGAGTCGTCATCACTCTCTCTAGTGAGGGACTAGCTAACCGTCGCGAAGTATCAATGGTTAAAAACCTACTCCTTTGGTGTAGACCGCTTTATAAAATATAGCGGCTATACAGAGTGGCCTAGCACTCACTGACAACTTAAATAACTTTTGATCCAGTTAATATTTTTAGCTGATTTTTTTTTTAAATAATAGTTATACGTTAGGTCTATATCTATATCTCAATAATTATTTTTTTTTACATTTTATAATATGTGAAAATTTGAATTATTTTTTTCATGTATTATTTTACGGTATTAAACATTGAAATACGTATTGAGAAAAGGACAGAAGAAAACACTATCTTTTTGTGATTACTATAATTTACAACCTTGGCATTAATACCATGATAAGAAATTTGATAAGGCAATTATTACTTATTCAAAAGTAAGCAACTTTTGAAAGTATGTCATTTTCATGGAAAAAGTTACACACCTCCAAATTCTAGTAATCACGAAAAGATAGCGTTTTCTTCTGTCCTTTTCTCAATACGTATTTCAATGTGTAATACCGTAAAATAATACATGAAAATTCCAATTTTCACAAACTTTAAAATGCTACAGAATATTTACTACTGAATATTAATAAGATATTTTTTTATTAAAATTTTTCTTAAATTCTACTCTACAAAATAGCTATCTTAGATTTTTTTTTTACATTTTATTTAAAATTTAAAAATAATTAATATTTTTAATAAAATGTAAAAAAAATAATTATTGAGATATAACTACAGACCTAACGTATAACTATTATTTAAAAAAAAATCAGATAAAAATATTAACTGGATCAAAAGTTATTTAAGTTGTCAGTAAGTGCTGGGCCACCCTGTATGAAATAATCTTACAAAGAAAATGACTGGTCTATAAAATCTTTTAAACCAGTTATTTGTAAAGTCACAAATTCGAATCTGGACCGTTTATATTTTTTTATTATAAATTAAATTTATTTTATTTATATGTGGTGATCACGTGTTTTCTGTTTCTTCTAGCCAACGCTAAAGAACCAGTGTCCAGACCATTACTGGTGTTTTTCATTAATTTCCGATTAATATTATCGAATGTGTTCCAATACCGTCCATAATATTAGTTATATTATTTGATTTTATTTTTATTGTCTTTATTTGTAGACATGGATTTTGATACATGCGTATTTTTGTCCATGTTTAACTTCTTTACTGTAAATTTAATTATTAATTTTAACTGTAATATTTATTTTATCCCTGTTCCTTAATCTAAACACGGGCTACGGTATGTTTTACATATAAACTACTTATAACTTCGGTTATCATAGTTATGGTTAATAAACCACCTCGCCTAGGTGAAGGCGATTCTTGTTACTATAGCTAGTAGCTATGTGTTGCAAACCACATTGTTGTTTTTTTATGAAATTTTTATCATAGTCAAGGATTGTTTATTATCAATTATGACTATCAATAGATAAACTTTCTGCATTAACAGTTGGTGTAATTATAAACTCACAAGAATGTGCCTTACTAACATTGATAATAACAATTCTGTGTATCTGTGAATATTGATGTTATATTTAATTAGTTAATTAATTATTAACTGATAAATCAAGAAATGTATATAACTAAAAAAAAAGAAATTACCATTTTTTCATTATTTTATTTACTTTGCGAGTAATTGTCTGGTTTATTATAAAGCAATTCCTTTGTAAAAATGTGATATTTAGTCCAAGTGTTAATAGTTGTACTATACCCCAAAATTTATAAAAAAATGTTTGATTCAATAATGTAGAATATTTTTGATAACGGTAACATTTATATGTTGTTTATCAATTTCGTTACCAGTTCATACAAGAACGATAACAGTGTAAAGATAAAGATTCGTAAAATTTTTTAAATAAAATAAATTTTTTAAATAAAATAAATATTTTATCAATTTAATAAATCTGACGATAAAAAAAAAATTGGTTGCATTACAAAAATTGAAACTTAATAAAATTTTAGGTTGTAAGGGGTGATAAAAGAAAATAAATATATTACCTAAAGCAATTGAGAAATAATTATTTAAAAAAATAATATTGTGATTCGCTATAACATATTTCGTGAGGTATAGATGAGGAATCTCTCTGTATATATTATTCTTGTTAAAAATTATTATTGTTCATTATTAAAAACAATATACATTATTATGAAGATTTGGAAATGTTTTTTTCTATAAACATGTTTTTAAATGATTTTATTATAATTTATAAACATAAATCATTATTTTTTAAACAGATATACCATTACATTTTATCAAGGATGGTAAGAAACAAATAAAATATATTCTTTTTTATCTTAATTTGGGTATTTTTGTAGGAACTATTAACTTATAAAAAATGTATATTAGACAAAACACCGAGTTTAATTGGGCTTCCTTAACATTAGTATGATAACCAAAATTGTCACATTGAGTGTTTAACTATAATCCTAGAACCTTGACAGCTAACTCATCATTTGCTTATAATGATGACTATTGAGCACGGTCATCAGACGACATACGGTTTAATAATTTTTTGGTAAAAAGGTTATCAAATTTTTTGATTGCCAAAATCAAAACTAATATTTCTTTAAACAATTTAATATTTAGTTAGTGAACAACATAAGGTTCATTGGATGAAAAGTATAATGAGAACAAAATGTTTTGTTATAGTATTTTTATAGTGTAGCAATATTAAAAATATAGATTTGTATACATTTATAATTTTTTCATTCCTTGAGGAATGATCATACATTTCATAGTTTTCTCATATAACTAAGTATTTTTTAGCTATTACATACTTAATACTGAGAATACCATCATAACATTATATGTAATAAGGAGCTATAAAATTAATGAGATTAAAATAAAAGTAATTTTTTAAATTATTACAATTATTATTTATTACTGTAGGCGCGTCATCATCATTTAAGAAAAATGACACGATCGAGAAATCTTAAAGTTTATTTTAAGCTTATTCAAAATAAATATTCAATGATTTTTCATATTTTAAAAATAAAATATAAGTCATTTATAATATTCTGTACAAAATTTCACCCCATTAGTTCATAATGATCATTTTTACATTTTGTTGTTTTAAATACATAAATTTCTCATTATTCAGTAATCTAGATAATAAATATTCAATGATTTTTCATATTTTAAAAATAAAATATATATCATAATATATGTCATTTATAATATTCTGTACAAAATTTCACCTCATTAGTTCATAATGATCATACTTACATTTTGTTGTTTTATAATACATACACCACTCATTATTAAGTAATCTATAAATCATTGTCTATTATTTGTCATCAAAATAAATATAATTATTCATGTCAATCTTTTAAAGTATTCCGAGAATCTAATGTAATGTAATACAAATCTAATGCAATAACTACAGTTTTCATTTATTCATTTATAATATACGCTTCTGTAATAATCTATTTTTATTTAATATCTAACAAACCTGTACAAATCATCTCTCCTCTGTACACTGTGGACCGTGCTCTGCTGTCAAGGAATATCAGGTAAGAGTAGTTTTAACATACTAACTAAAATAATAAGTAATAATGAATAAAATCCATTTAGAAACGTGGTCTAATATAAGCACAGGAGACCCTACACAGAAAAAAATATTATATTTATTTTCCATATGTTGTATAATATTTTTAAAATTATATCATATGATATACCATATTTTTCATATTCTTTAGATAAAACTTGTCCTGTAACAAATTGTTATGAAAGTGTTTATTATATAATGGTGGGTTGTCGTTGTCATTTATGTGAAATATGCGCTGAAGAATCTTTAAAAAATGGTGGTACATGTTTAAATTGCTCTAAAGGAGTATCGTCTTGTAAGTAAATATTAAATTATAATTGAAGGTAATAATTATTTCTGAAAAATTGTAAATTTTATAATATTCAATGATTTTAACTGTTCATATGTACGTTTTTTTAATAAAAATCCAATATTCGGAAAGTAATGACGTATAACTATATTATACGTACTACAACATTTAACTACATTCAACATTTTTAAATTAAATGCATCAAATTCACTAATACACTTCAATGGTATTTTGAATCTTTTGTATTTCTTTTGATTATCATTTTATGACTAAAAGTTAAAAAACACTTTTAATAAAATAGTTATAAAAATATAAAAATACTTTTTGATGGCTTTAAAAAAAAATGTTTAGCCTCTTTACTAAGCTGAAAAGGTATTACTTTATGTGTGTGATTTTTTATGTTTGTCCATAAAAAAAATGCTTAGCTCTTACGGAACATTTTAATGATCAATACGTAAATATTAAATAATCTTCAATATTAAAAAAAAAATTGTTCGATGAATACTCTTCTGTGAGAAATTAGATGTCGAAGTAAAAGAAATCGCTATTTATATATTTTTTTTATATTAAAAC